TGGTGGGCATCCATAGAGACGTGTTGGTGCTGGGCGCCCTGCAGCAGCTGGAGCCCTTCACCGGCCAGGTGGGGACATGGGGACACCATGGGGACACCTTGGGGACACCTGGAGATCATGGGGACACCGTGGGGACACATAGACACCGTGGGGAACACATAGACGTGGTGGGGAACACATAGACATGGTGGGCATCCATAGACACGTGTTGGTGCTGGGCGCCCTGCAGCAGCTGGAGCCCGTCACCGGTCAGGTGGGGACATGGGGACACCGTGGGGACACCTTGGGGACACCTGGAGATCACGGGGACACTGTGGGGACACATAGACACCATGGGAACATCATGGGAACGCATGGACACTATAGGGAACACATAGATATGGTGGGCATCCATAGAGACGTGTTGGTGCTGGGCGCCCTGCAGCAGCTGGAGCCCGTCACCGGCCAGGTGGGACATCGTGGGGGACATGGGGACACCTTGGGGACACCTGGAGATCGTGGGGACACCATGGGGACACATAGACACCGTGGGGAACACATAGACACCGTGGGGAACACATAGACGTGGTGGGCATCCATAGAGACGTGTTGGTGCTGGGCGCCCTGCAGCAGCTGGAGCCCGTCACCGGCCAGGTGGGGACATGGGGACACCATGGGGACACCTTGGGGACACCTGGAGATCGTGGGGACACCGTGGGGACACATAGACACCGTGGGGAACACATAGACGTGGTGGGGAACACATAGACGTGGTGGGCATCCATAGAGACGTGTTGGTGCTGGGCGCCCTGCAGCAGCTGGAGCCCTTCACCGGCCAGGTGGGACATTGTGGGGGACATGGGGACACCTTGGGGACACCTGGAGATCATGGGGACACCGTGGGGACACATAGACGCTATGGGGAACACATGGACGTGATGGGGAACATGTGGGCATGGTGGGCATCCATAGAGACGTGTTGGTGCTGGGCACCCTGCAGCAGCTGGAGCCCGTCACCGGCCAGGTGGGGACATCGTGGGGGACATGGGGACACCTGGAGATCGTGGGGACATCATGGGGACACATGGACACTATGGGGAACACACGGACGTGATGGGGAACACGTGGGCATGGTGGGCATCCATAGACACGTGTTGGTGCTGGGCGCCCTGCAGCAGCTGGAGCCCGTCACCGGCCAGGTGGGACATCGTGGGGGACACAGGGACACCTTGGGGACACTGTGGGGACACATAGACATTATGGGGACACATAGGCACCATGGGGAACACATGGGCATGGTGAGGAACGCATGGACGTCATGGGGATGCAAGAACGTGATGGGGAACACAAGGACGTGAGGACCTTGGGGACACCTTGGTGACACATAGACATCATCATGGGGACACATGGACGCCATGGGGGACACAAGGACATGGGGACATCTTGGGGACACCAGGAGATCGTGGGGGTGCAGGGACATCGTGGGGAACACGAGGACATGGTGGGGAGCACGAGGACATGGGGACACGTCGGGGACCCCCTGGGGACCTCGGGGACCCCCCGGGGACCCTTGGGGACATTGGGGACACTGTGCGCAGGTGTCGGTGCTCGTCATGTGCCACACGCGGGAGCTGGCCTTCCAGATCAGCAAGGAGTACGAGCGCTTCTCCAAGTACATGCCCAGCGTCAAGGTGGGGACCGGGGCGAAACGCGGTGGGAATGGGAAAAATGGGTAAAAACGGGGAGAAATGGGGGGAAATGGGGAGAAACGGCGAGAAAACGGGGAGAAACGGCGAGAAAATGGGGGAAAATGGGGAGAAATGGGGCAATAGGAGGGTTCTCCAAGTCCATGCCCAGCGTCAAGGTGGGAAACGGGGGAAAATGGGGAGAAACGGGTAAAAATGCAGGGAAATGGGGAGAAAATGGGGAGAAACTGCGTGAAAATGGGGAGAAACGACGTGAAAGTCTTCTCCCCGTTGGACAAGGGGGTCTCCAGGTGGACCAGTGGGGACACGAGGGTCCCCAAGGGAACCTATAGGTTCCTATAGGGTCCCATGGGGGACAGGGATGTCCCCAAGGCCCCATAGGGACCCATAGGGACACAAGGGTCTCCAGGTGGGTCTGTGGGGACAG